GATTTGCTTGTATAGCTGTTAAGCACTCTTAGTTTTACTTTATTATTCCCGTGAGAAGAGAAAAGCACTTGTTCACTCTTGTTGCTGCACCCGTTATCACTGAGACAACTAAAATTATTTCACCTTTAGAAGACTAAAGTACCGAACAAAGTTTTGAATTTCTTTATCTTTTTTGCATGATTGGGCAGTAAAAATGTTGTACTTTCACAAAATAAGTGCGCAATTTGTCAAAAATTGTTTGAAATTTAGATATAACCATTCAAAAAGTAAAAAAATTATCATACATACATAAAGGAATGACAAAATGGCGGCACTGACTGCCCTCATCTTTAATCTGCAAATGTTCCACACAAAGTTACTCCAAGTGCTGTCATATTTAGCAGGAACATAGGTATAATTATGGAGAACAACTACTGAAGTGCGCAAATTGATGAGACTTATTCTGAAGAAAGATATAGCCTAGTAAATGGAAATGTCCATTCCTGCCCTGTATAAAGTCAACCAGTAGTATACGGAGATAATTGCTCAGTATACTAATCCGCGACCACTCATTGCTGGACATGAGTCCTGTCAATCCAGTTGTCGGTCTGTATCTCAACTTTGCTAGGTGATAGAAGGCTAATTCTTACACCATTCTATTCCAATAATGCATGCGCAGGTCCCTATTCTTTGTGACAATTCTCCAACAAAGAAAGAAGTTGTACTGTCACTGCTGGATCAGGCCCATCTTAGCTGCATGCCGCCATTTTATTAATTAAAGAAGCATGTGCTCCAAAAATTTGGGTGTGGTCGCGCATGCTCAGAGATCTGCAGCTCTGGAAGAAGCAAGCAAATGAAGCTATTAATCAACTGCAACACTTCGTGGAGGTTTCCAGCTAAGAGAAGGTATTATTAATCTTGCATACTATTCTTTTATTAAGTGTGTAATGAATTACTTTATTTCAAAAAACAAACAATTAATTAAATATTGTTATAATAATGCAATGATAATATGACTTGACTACAGCAAGGATTGCAGGGAAGATGGATACTGTCACAGTGTCACTGCTCCTTGAACAAGGACTCTTGTCAAGACTAGTATAAATTTTTCTTGCCATCAGTATAGTAGACATTCTTTCAGCATATCTATTCACTCAATGTTGTCTCTTACAATGCTTTAAATTTAAGACATAACAATGATAATAATAATAATAATAATAATAATAATAATAATAAACTTATTGTTTGTGTAAAACCAACAAGTATCACAATGGCAACTGAAGAAATATTATAAATGTTATAAAAAATTAACACAAACAAGAACATAAAAAATTAAAAAAAAACAAGATGAAGTAGGAT